GAAGATCACATCTACCTGAAGGCATTCCCTTTTTCATTGGAGGATCTTGCCAAGGACTGGTTGTACTATCTGGCTCCTAGTTCAATAACAAGCTGGGATGACTTGAAGAGAGTGTTCCTCGAAAAATTCTTCCCTGCATCCAGGACCACTACAATCCGGAAAGACATATCTGGAATTAGGCAACTCATGGGGGAGAGCTTATACGAGTACTAGGAGAGATTCAAGAGGTTGTGTGCTAGCTTCCCTCACCATCAAATTTCTGAGTAGCTATTATTGCAGTATTTCTATGAGGGGTTGAATATAATGGATAGAAGCATGATTGATGCAGCTAGTGGAGGAGCTTTAGGAGATATGACACCTGCTTCTACTAGAGGGCTGATTGAAAAAATGGCGTCCAACTCACAACAATTCAATATGAGGAGTGATGCCATAGTTGTGAGGGGTGTGCATGATGTGGTAGCCTCAGATTCCACTGAACATAAGAAGCTGGAGAGTAAGATTGATGCTCTCACCACCTTGGTTTCACAACTGGCTGCAAATCAAAAAGCAGCTCCACCACCATCAAAAGTATGTGGCATCTGCACTTCAATTAGTCATCCAACAAATGCTTGTCCCTCCTTACAAGACTCTTCTACAGGTCCTGATGCCCCACAAGCATATGCTGCCAACATTTACAACAACAGACCTCCACACCAGCAACAACATAATTATGATTTGTCTTCCAATAAATACAATCCTGATTGGAGGAGTCATCCTAACTTGAGGTGGGGAAACTCTCAGCAGCAGCAGCAGAAAAATCCACCACCTTTCTAGAACAATCCCTCAAGTTCTACATATCATCCTCCTCAACATTTATGTCAAATTTGATCTATATGAATGAAATATCAAATCATCTTAAATTAATGTAAAATTTTATATATATGATCTAGAACTAAGAAACTTTCAATTCAACCGTAATTTTTGAAAAAATTACATTTAATATAAAATTATTAAACGTTATAATAATTGGTAAAAGTTACACTGTTATCATTTATTTGGCACACATATATATACATACATATATATATATATATATATATATATATAGATATACACTAAAATATTTTGCATTGTCATGCATAACACATCTTATTTCCTACCATATCTTGAGGGTTGTTCATTGAATGTATACCTCGTTTCCACTAAACACTTGATATATAATTGTACATTATCCATGAATTAACTTGCTTGTAATTTATTAGGAGATAAGAAAAATAGTGACTCAAGAGAAGAAAACCATGCAACAATGCAAACGAAATATTATTGTTGTTCTAATTAAACAAGTTGTCTCGAGTTTGAGTCTTCAACATACAAAACTATATAAAATCACCATAATATAAAAGTTTTTTTCCGCCCATAATAGATCTTTTTGGCTAAAGTGAAAACAATGAAAGCACTATTGCTGAGCTTGGAAGGGCTTGAATTTCTTGAGATCATGAGCAAGGCCTTGGATGGAACCCACAGCTGAGATAATAGAAATGATCAAGCATACCCAACTCAATATCTTGAGCCAAGTCCACGTGAAAGAAAATTTTTGCATGTTGGAACGCTTAATGTACATCTCTATTGGAAAGTAAACTGTCAATGGCCAAAAGGAGAGTGAACCAATCAGCCCCAAGAAGTCATTGAAGAATGGGAATATCATGGCTACAACGGCAGTGATAATCACATATGCAGTCCTCCAAACTACCCTAAAGAAGTTCACGTTGTAGCTTCCACATAGAGGAACGTTCAAAGCATGTTCACCATTTATAAATTGGCTTTCTGACCATTTTTCCTTGCTCCATTTCTCCACAAACCCAAATATGGGTTGGACAAAGACCTAGTCATAGAGAAATCTCATGCATGAGTCATAAACAAATATTACCAATACCATAAAGCAATATAAATATTTTTTTATCGATAAAAATTACAACGAAAATAATATTTGAAAGATTAAATATACTTTGATTAATTTTCACTTTTAGTCTTTGAATACATTTTTCACAAATTTTAATTTCTGAACTTTTGTTGATTTTTAATTTTATTCCTTGAATTTTTTTAAAAGAAATAAAAGTAAAATTTGACAAAAATTTATAGACTAAAGACATATTTAATTCATGTTAAAATCTAGAACCTTATACATACTACTCCAGCTTTAACCACTATATTGATCCTAGTGGTTCATCAGAAAAAAAAATGGTGTTAATTGTGAAAATGATTAGGATGAAATAAGTTTTGGGTTTTGAAAATAAAAATCATGTGTTTAAATTTTTTAATATTTATTTATTTTTGTTAAATATAAAGAATAAAATAAATAAAATTTAAATGAAAGTAATTCAAAGAATAAAAGATACATTTGTGGCTTTAATAAGTTATTTACCTGATATGCTCCAACTAAATGGACTGCTATGCAGACATTGGCAAAGTCTATTAGCCAAAATGGCTCGTAGAAGCCAAACCCTGTTAGGAAATTTCCTGGTGCATCATTCCCAAAAGCAGCATAGCCTAAGCACCCACACAACACATAAAATAACGTTGTTGTCATGATGCCAATCAAACTTGCTCTCTTCATGACCTTGTTTTCTGGTGGGCTTGATTTTAAGGTGTCCTGCAACAATGTGGGCCAGATTTCTATTTTAGTGGGCTTGCATATTGATGTACTCCTTCACATGCGTCATTGCTATTAATGAAAATTGTAAATATTTCTTATACTAATAAGGTTAGGAACTAAGGGTTAGAAAATTCAATCATTCCAAATAATAATAGTAATAATAAGGGTAATTGAAGGAATTTTGCCTTCTTGTAGGCTCCATCCTGATTGACCCTGGACTCAAAGTGGCTTTAGAAAAGTAGTTTTGATCCCCTAAAAAAGAAATTGTTGTCTTTTTAACTTTTTGTCTGCCATCAGTTTTGCTTTTTGTGTTGAATTTTAGCTAAGTCCTAATGATAGTATAATTATGTTTTCATGGATGGTACGTATTTTGGTTGGTATGGGTGACCATTCATGTTGATTAATTTAAAAAACAATGAAGCCAAAATAATCTTTGATTGGTCATGATAATTTGTTCATAAGTATTTCTAAAAAAATAATATAAAATTTTTATAAATTAAAATTAATTTAATATAAATTAATTTTTTAAAATTTTTTTATTTTAGTTTATTTTTGAAAAATTATTAATTTTCATATAAATTAGTTATTTTTTTTCTTTTTGAAAAAAAGAACATATTGTGATATTATAAAATTATTTAACATGATACTCATCACAAACAATCATGTATTGTATTATAGTTAAGGATGATATTAAATAATATTTATAGATTAAATTTAAAATTTGACTTAACCTCACTTATTTAATAAAAATAATTAGATTTAAATTTTAAACAAAAACTTATTTATTTTTTAAAAAAATTAGACTTTAAGTTAATGTTTTTTTATTAGGTTTGACACGTCATTATATTTATCTATAATATATATATATTACATTATTAATGATATAATTAAACAAATAAATTTAAAATATAAAATTAAATTATTAATATTTTTGACATTTTTACTAATTTAATTAAAAAATTTACCTCTCATGTTCATATGAAACCATGAAATAAAAAATAAAAAAAAAAATCTAACAGTCACGTACTTGTTTGCTATTTTTTTTTTATCTTCATAGTTACTTAGAATAATCTAAATGAGATATGACAAATATTTAGAATTTTTTAATTAGATTTTTTCTTTCAATACATCAGTGCGTGACTATACGTTTACATATATGTGCATTAGTTGTCCTGTTACTTTAAATTTTATTTTAAACTCTAGATTTTAATAATAATAGAGTAAGCTATATTTTTACACCAAAAAAAAGACTCACACGTATATTTAAAAATAAATTTATTAGCTTATTTAAAATTAAATTTATTAGTCTATTTAATAAAATAAATTTTTAAATAAATTAATAGACCATATAAAACTTTTAAAATAGTCAAACCAAACCTAAAGAAAAACTTACAATAAATAATATGTCAGATTTAGTCTATAATTTTATAAAACAGGTTCAACTTATATATTTAAAATATATTCTTGTGTAACTTATATTCTCATCCTTAATTATAAGTTTGTCAATTTTTATAATAATTATTTTAAAATAATGTGAATAGTGATTTTTATTAAAACTCTTTTTATTTAGTTCTTATGAATATGATATAAACAATATTTTAAACTAAAGAAAAAAAAACTAATTTATGATAACAGTGGCTTCTGTTGTAAAAAAATAAAAAAAAAAAAAAAAAAAAAAACAGGTTTTAACTTGCAAACAACTCTATGCAAATAGTTTCGTTCAAGTTATGATAGAAATTTGGATTGTGTCATTGTGTGCAGTTGGTTTTTGTGTATTTAGTGTGAATAGTGAATTATGCACTGCTTGGTATCTCCATCTAGTTCTCAATGAGACAAATCAAAGTCATAAATGTAATGTGAAATAAATTTATTCTGAGCAGTTAGATAATGATTGGATGATACTGAACTTCAATGACTATACCCAATGCACCATAACCGACTGAACTCAACAAACAGTTATCAGAACAAAGTTTGTTTCTATCTAAAAAAAAAATAAAAAAAAAAAACAGGTTTTAACTTGCAAACAACTCTATGCAAATAGTTTCGTTCAAGTTATGATAGAAATTTGGATTGTGTCATTGTGTGCAGTTGGTTTTTGTGTATTTAGTGTGAATAGTGAATTATGCACTGCTTGGTATCTCCATCTAGTTCTCAATGAGACAAATCAAAGTCATAAATGTAATGTGAAATAAATTTATTCTGAGCAGTTAGATAATGATTGGATGATACTGAACTTCAATGACTATACCCAATGCACCATAACCGACTGAACTCAACAAACAGTTATCAGAACAAAGTTTGTTTCTATCACTTGGAAGAGTTTTCCATGTTCATATATGTGATTGATATCAGTTCATGACTAAGCTGAATGGAAACGGAAACGACCCACACCATTCAAGTGGTGCCAACGGACTTAATGGTTCATTATCATGTATATATGGAGTCTTATAATTATCCACTATAGCTAGCTACACATAGCTACATGAATACAAAAATACTAAAATAGTAATATCACTTACAAAATAGACCAACTCTTAAGAAATTGATGAATTATTGGTTCAAATTATTCCACATATTAGACTAATCATACTCTTATTTATATATATTTTTATTTATTTCTAAACTAATTGTTTCCATCTCTTTAGAAAAATGAGCTAGTTGTTTCTTATTAGGTGATGCATGCAATCCTGAATGAGACCATATTTAAATAACAAATTAATAATGCATGCATTCCAGGTAAGTCAACGACAGAAGATAAAAAATATAAAAACTGGTCAAAAATAGCAGTTGGTGTTACGCATGGTATTGACTAGTTGACTACACATGTGTTATGCTGCTACCAAATTTAAGTGAGGCACACATTTCAACTTTAATCATGCATCAAACCCGTTTCACCGCATTTTTTGTCATCCCTATCATAATGAATTATATTAATTTTTTGTTACGTGAAGAATTATATTACTTCTATTGCTATTGAAATATAGCTTCTTTCAAGTTCCAACTACCGTCACTAGCCTACGGTAGGGACACACAAACCTACAAGCACAAAAAAATATAAACAAATTATGTTTACACAAATTCACACGCTTGTTACGTAATTTGGTTTTATTTTAACTATTTTCTTAAATAATTTAATACGAAAAATATATTAGCAAAGAATAAATAAATACATAAATATTATTACCTGGATTTCAATGAGCACATTTGAAAAAGCATAGGCAAAGGCAATGTCACCAATAGCTTGAAACATTCTCCAAATCTTTTCTGTTCCAGAAACATCCACCCCAACTTGTACCCCTGTTAAGGATGTCCGCACGTGTCCCCCACCTTCAACCATGTTGGTTTTTTTTTTTTTTTTTTTTTTCATTAGTTTCACATTAATTAATGTAAAATTAAAATCTAGTATGTCCTAATTACTTTTTTAATTTAAGGTTTGTCCTAGTGTAAATAAAATGAGTAAAAAATTAATCACATATGCTTAATTACCTGCAACTTTGGCTAGGGAGAGTCCAAGGCCAATAGAAGAATAAGCAAAAGACATAACAGCTGCAACGATGGAGAGCCAAGAGAGTTTATGGAAGTTTGGTATTTGACTTAGAACAATTTGAATGCAGGCAAAAACGATCATGAAGGGGTAGTTGTTTATGTTGCACTTGTCTTGATGACCATGTTTGTGAAAACAGTTCGACCTCTTCACCGCCCTATTGATTTTCATCGAATGTGGAAAAATAATTAAGGAAATATATATACTTGCATAATATGTCAAAGTCCACACACACTTAGGTCAAAAGTTCATGGGGAAACTTACACCATACTAATTGATGCAGTTATAGTGTAGCCAATGGTTACACCAACCAGATTTATATACTGAGCCAATCCACACAGCTGAAATTTTCTGCCTCCTATGGATACAAGATAACAAATTAAATTAAAGGGGCATCAAACTTATATATGTTTCATTAAGCAGGTGTAGTTTTTTTACATTTAATATAAGTATTAATTAATGAGTTTTGATAATAAAATTCATGTAAACCTTGCTTCTTAATAAAGTACTATATTACAAAACCATGTCACGGGGAAATAGTATTCCTAGTCATGTGACATGTCTCTCCAAGAACCAAAGAAACAATAGTTTTTTTATTGGCATTGGCAACAAATAAAACAGAGTACTCTTGAAAGTTCCACTCCATGTGCCAAGTTTCAGTCACTTTTAACTGCAAAATTAGTTTCTCTTGGAACATCTCGAATAAATTTTTTACATTTGGATATCTTAATTATGTTAAATAATTTTAAAAAAATTATACTAAAATTAGCTAATTCCTATGATAATAAGGAAAATCTAAAGTTTTTTTTTTACTAATAATTAAATAAATTTAGACAAAGGAGAGAGGGTGAGAGCGTTTCTTACTAACAATGCCAAAATTCTTTCTTACTAACAATTATGGAGTTTAACTCTTTCCTAATGATTTGACTCACATTATAATAATAAAATGACTCTATCTTCAAGTCAATGCTTAAATCTTGATATTCATTAAGAAACACAAACATTGAATTACTTGTATTAACAAAGTTATTTTTCGTTAAGTTTTACTTGGAACTTAATCTTTTCATATTAACAAAAAAAAAAAAATTATACAAAGTGTTTTGTGTGGTAGTTGTGTTACCTAAGTTAGCTTTGACAACCTCAGAATACGTGTAGTTTCGCTTGCCATGAACAGGATCAGGTGAACGGTAACAATCAGAAAGAAGAGTGGAAGTGAAGTATGTGATAAAAGAGAAGGCAAACAACACTGCAGGACCAGCCACCCAACCCATCTGAGCAATTGCCCATGCAAGAGACAGAACTCCAGAGCCAATCACAGCTGTTATGATGTGGGCACTAGCAGTCACCCATGTCCCTTCAAATTCACCAATCCAAAACACCATATCACATGTAAAATACTAATTCATACAAGTAACTGTTTAAAGACGAAGAAAATAATGTTTCATTAGCATAAGTCACGTTCTGCCAGCATATATTAATATTTAGTTGTCGGCGTTTATTGATGGAAGAAAAAAAAGAAAAAAAAAAAGATGTTTGGGTGTAGTAATTGATGATATGAGTTTATGTGTGAAGTATACAATACCAGTTCTTTTAGTTCGTCCATCTTCGTCGAAGTTTTTGCCAGCATCGGCAAAAGTTTCTGGGGTTTCTATGTGCATGCTGTTCATCTCTGAAACCAACCAGTGGCCTAAGGCCTCTCTGTTTCTATTTGTGAGTGCAAATGTGTTCAGTGGGTGGCCAACACGCAAAAAGAATGGAAAAGAAAATAAAAAGGGGAAAAAAGTGTATGTTTTATATTGGTGTTGTCTTTTGGCTACAGTATATGAGTTTGTGGTGAAAGCCTTAAGGAAGTAGAGATTTTTGAATTGGAAAAAGGAAAAAATGGCATTGGATTAAATAGAGGAGGAGGAGGAGAGGAGTGAGGGATTTTGTTGCTTTGTACTTATGTGGCACATGTATTTTCAAAGATGAATAGGAATTTAATTTACTGATCAAAAAGTGGCTAACTTTAGGAAAAGCAAAGTTGGGAAGAGAAGTGAAAAGGAAAATTCAAAGGTTTTTTTGAGGCGATGATAGGTGAGTAGAAGGAGTGGAATTTTTTTTAGGCATGTGGACCATCAAAGGTGGCAAATTCTTCTCTGGCTGGGGAACCCAAGTGTCCCCTACACTTTGTGATTTTTTGTTTTTGTCCATCCATTTGGAGATTTTATTTTTTTTTGATAGCCACTGGAAATGGGTCTTCCAGAGTGCCACAAATCTATCTGATTAAGACACCATGCTTGCCCTCTCTCCCACTTGATTCCCTTATTTTATCACCATTTTTTTCAATTTTAATCTTATGTGTTTTAAATTGCACTCACACTTTTATGGTGATCCTTAACCATTGCAAGAAATTATGGACTAAAAATCGATAATGTAGTGCATGTTTGGTTTCCGTTTATGATCCTCATCTATATAAAAATTACATAAAAAAAATATGCAAAAGCCACTAAGTGCATATTTGATTTTGCATTAGTAATCCACTTTGGTCCTTAAAACTACATTAAATAAAGTGATGAAGAAACAAATCTGAATTGTTTCTTTTTTTAATTTAAGCCAGAATGTAATTAATGAGGTACAAAACATACCCTAATTGTTGCCTTGAGTGATTTACATCCAACTCAAATTGATGTGAATTCAAACTTCTTCATATAATATTTGAGTTCAAAATATAAGGGTATTGGGATTACAATCTTGGTCGCAATTCGCAAACCAATTTGTTCTTTTGACAACGTTGATTACCAAACAGCGAAGTCAAAGTCATGCAAATTTCGTTTCGCAGTTGTTAAAGTTGACTGAGTTCTCAATTATTTAATTTGTATGATTGAGGCTGTAAAGATATAATCAGGTACACGTCTCTGATATGGTATCATGTCAGCTAAGTACCCCAACATCTTAATGATATAACGTCCATATATTTTAAAATATGGTACTTTGTACAGAAAATTTTGTCTCATTGTTATCTCTCATTCAAAAAAATAATAATAATAAGTTTTAAATACTATTTTTGATTTTTTATGTCTTGACATTTTTATTAAGTGAAAAAATAAAAAGTAATTAAAAATATAATTATAAGTTTTAATATTGACAATATTTAATAATATCTAAATTTTAATTAAAAATATAATTATAAGTTTAGAATATTGACAACATTTAATAATGTCTAAATTTTATATAGAATACTTCAATATTTAATATTTTGAAATAAAAATGTGTGAATTAATAAATTATTAATAAAATATTTTGACAATATTTAATAATATCTAAATTTTAATTAAAAATATAATTATAAGTTTTGAATATTGACAATATTTAGTAACATCTAAATTTTATATAGAATATTTCAGTATTTAATATTTTGAAATAAAAATTTGTGAAGTAATAAATGATTAATAAAAATGTGTGTGTATGTATCTATGTATGTGTCTGTCTGTGTGCATGTGTGTTTGTGTGTATGTGCACGCACGTGTGTATGTGTGTGTGCGTGTAACTTTATAAAAAAAATTGTTTAAATTTATGATGTATATATAAATTATTGTGAGTGACAATTGTCTTTTTAGATGAGTTTGAAGTAGTGATCATGAAAGGTAGTGACACTTACAAAGACTCTCATTATAGAAATATTTAGTGAGAAAGTTAGTTACATAAGTTAGGTCACATTTAAAGATGAAAATAAGTTAGGTTATATTTTAAATATACAAGTTAGATATGTTCTACAAAATTAGGGTTGTCAAAATGGGTTAGTTCGATTCATTTGGCTTGACTCATTTTAACCTACTTTATATGTGAGCTGGTGCAGCCCAGCCCACCTGTGTTAATGCCTAAAATTTTTCGGTTTAGCTTGGACCATCACAGGTTGATGGGCTAAATGGGTTAACCAACCAACCCACTTACTTATAAAAAAAATAAATAAAAATAAATAAAAGCTCCAATTTAAGTTGTTATAAGTTAGTATCAAATTTTATTGAAGTGGTTGTCCATCAATATTAAATTTTATTGGAGGTTTGACTAGATAAATCTATAGTAATTTCATGTTGTTTAACATCAACTTTATCTTCATTTACAAAAAATGGTACTTGCTAAAATAATGTATATATAATAATAAATGGTTAAGTTAATCATTGGTGGGTTAAACTAATGAGAGGTGTAAGTAAGTTAGGTGCGTAGCCTAGTCCACCACGGGTTCAACCAAGGGTGGGTCATGTTGAAAGTGGATTGGGTTGAAGTTTTTGGCCAATTATGAAGTTCTTGGTTTTTTTCTTGCTTTGTCTGGCCCATTTTCAAGGTGGGCCCAAGTTGGCCCACGATCCACAATCCATTTTGATAGTTTTATATAAAATTAAAGCTTAAGTTTGACCTATTATTTATCATAGATTTTTTTATACGTTTAACCTAACATTTTTAAACATCTATTTGAGGGGGTTTAAGGCTGTAATGTTTCATAAGGATGGTTCTAATGCCCCAAGGCCTGACAGGTTTGGTGGTACCTTCTATTAGAGATATTAGGATATAATTGGCCAAGATGTTTTCCAATCCCTTTTTTTATGTAGAATTAGATTCTTCCTAGCCTTAACTTCAATCTAGTTGCACTCATTCCCAAGTTTCCAAAAGTAGACTGATGGAAACCTTCTAGAGAATCCAGATTGATGTTGCCTTCTCCTTCAAGTTTCTCCCTAGACCTTTAGCTTCTTGACACTCTTTAAGCTTCTCCTAAGCCTCCAATGGTTGAGGAAGCTTCGATGTTCACCTTAGAAGGTGAACGACACTTTTCAATTGGTGCCACTCCTTGGAGGAAGATGAACAACTTCAATCCTCATCACACTCTTTATGAAGAGGATAAGAGAATTAAATCAAGATCAAAGAGATTTAAGAATTTTAGGGACAGAGAATTCAGAGAAAGAACTCGGCTATGCTCTCATATAACATCCAAAAGTGTCTACAAAGTGAAGGAAATACCTTATATAAAGAATAGGTAGCTTATGGTGTAAGCTAATCTAACCACGGTTTAAATAGAACCATAGTTAGCCTTCTTACACTTAAGCTAACTATCCTTAGTTACCTTCCTAGAAGCTTGTGGAGCAAGTCAAGCTAACCTTAGTTTAAAAATGACTTAGGTTAGCTTAACTTAGCTCCAATTAACTAACCTAATGATTACTTCTAGTAGTTAGTTGAGATGTCACTTTCAAGGCCATATGGAAGCTTCTCCTACAAGCTTTGGATGTTGGATGGCTTCCTCACCAAGCTTGGATGTCCAAAACACTTGCCTAGGCAAGTGGATGTCCAATCTTGGTATATTTTATAAATCCATTTGGGTCATCCAAGCCCAAACAATCCCATGGTCTTTCTAGTTACACCTCCCCTAAACTACTAATTACACCAAAATACAAGGAACAAAAATCCTACACTACTTGACCCAAAATACAAGGTCCAATGAAGTAAAATACTCCAAGAAACATACCCTAAAATCCTAAGGGTGTGACCTACTAAGAAAAATAAAGATTCCTTATAAATACAAAGGCAAAAATAAGCCTATACAAGTATCTACTATATACAAGGTACAAGAACTCAAACTATACCAGGTATGTACAATAGAGACTATGAGACTAAAAAAAGGAATCACACTCAATGCTCATATAGAGCATAGGTCTAAGAAACATCTCCTCTGTAGAAGCCTCCTCTAGCCACCTATTGTTGAGCTTTTAAGTGTGATTTCTCCTATTTATACTAGTCTCCACCTCCATTCTCAAATCTTCCAGATTTGTAGATATTTTAATCACATGGTAATTAGGTGTCCATGTTGTAGATATTTATAGGACTTTTTAGAATCTCTTTGAATTATTTATAGGTATCTTATTGGTTAAGTTTCCAATCTATTTAATCACATGGTGATGAGGTGTCAACTTTCTAGAATTTTGCAGAGTTATTTAGTTATCTTAATGGTTAAACTTTCAATTCATTTTCTCGTAGAATTTTATAGAATATCGTAGAATTTTGTATAATTATTTAAATATATTAATTGTTAAACTTCCAATTTATTCTAGATTTTCATTTTGTAGAATTTTATAGAACTTTCTAGAATTATTTAAGTATCTTAATAGTTAAGCTTCTAACCCATTTAATCATTTGGTGATTAGCTATCTACTTTGGAGACTTTTATAGAACTTTCTAGAACATTGTAGAATTATTAAAGTATCTTACAAATTAATTATAATTTTAAAAAACTAATATCATTAGAATCTTCACCATCAAAAACATACAATTTGGTCTATTGATTATCTCTTAATTATGCTAATTAATATTAATTTAATTACTTAGAATTTGCTTATTTGTCATAATTTGATTGGTTGAGACTTGTATTTTAGTTTAACCTAACTAGTCATTTTTATTAATTATTCTAAGCATATTATATTAATGATAAAAAAATTATATCTTATTGAACATTTTCCCATAATTTTCTAGCTTAAGATTTAGCAAAATAATTTTCTCATTTTAAATCCTTAAAGAATTTATATAAATTTTAAATGGAATATTTTCTCTCTGTATTTATGCTTAATCTACTTTCAATAAATTATCATTTAGGTTATAAATTACTTAAATTTTCTTAAATCGACTTTTTTTATTATTTTTTTACATTTTACAACATGTTCATAATATTGTCCGAGAAACAGTCAAATTAAACAATAAAATACATGTCATTAAATTTAGAAAAATCTTGTTGGATAATACTACATAAACTTCATTCTCAATAACTTACACAATGTTTAATACATATTTATCACAATAAAACATATAATAATTTACAAAAATTATATAGATAAATAGTTACAAAAGTTAGGATGTTACACTTATTG